ATTTGTTTTGACGGAGCTGCTTGGCAAAAGCCTGGGCCGTCCCAAACTGATGCCGGCTGACAGTGCTTTGCCGTTCCCGGAGCAAGGAAACATGTGGAAGGAATTGTTCTTTTACATTTCACAGCTTGTCATTTCCTCCAAAGGGTGAACTTTGACCCCTTTAAGAGATTCTGACACCCATAAGGGAAGTATTCCCACTGTTGAAAAGGAAGTGGGGAAGCAGTTTAATGCTGTGAGAGGTTTGGAACAGTGTCTGTCAACAAAAACTCGAAGAAAAAGAAAGGATCAGCTCTTGAAATGTTTCCAGCAGCTTAGAGCTTTTATCGTGATGGATGATTTGCCAACACTTTGGAAATAGATTTTCTTTGCATATGTTTTCAAATTAGGAAAACACATTTCCACGCCCTCAGTTATATCCTCTGTCAGTTATTTCACTAGGCAGATGAAGCCATGGACAAGTTTAAATCAAATGTGAAGGATCAAACAGAGGCCTGCAGAAAAGGTACTGAAAGGCCTCATCCATCTTTTGGATATTTTCTTTCCTAGGCCCAATGTGTTTGCAATTACAAGGTGTGCATGGAATGTACTGACAACTTCAGATTAGGGCTGGTGTTTCTATGACGTTTTTACATCCTTTGCATTTTATTTGGCTATTTATATTCATGGATTATGGTGTTTCTTCCCTGTTTCCTTTTGCACCAATATTGTTAGCAACATCCCTTGTTAATAGAGGTTTCCTTCCTAAATTACTTTTTCCTGTTAATATAATTAAAAACCATTTTGTAGATCAAATGAGCAAAGAAGGGTCTTAGTCTTCTAGAAGCTGGGAAGGAGAAAGGGAGAAACTTTTCATACTAAGATAAAGTACTCTGTCTGTTTGGAAAAGTAGCCAACCCTTTTGTCTGTTGGATTTCCACAACATCTACAGTATTATGCAGAAGTATACTGTTGCAGAGTTTTGAATTTCTGGGAAGATTCCTTTTGATATGCAACAGAACTGCAGAGACTCACAGAGAAGAATAGCTCCAAGTTCCCCCAAGTCTGCCCCTTTCTCATTAGCTGCCACTTAAAGTCTCATTAATTCACTCTGATTCATTTGTAGGAGAAAGAATAAAAACATATCTTAACAGTTGCTTGAAATTTTAGATCTGTGTGTGCCACTTTCTTTACGCACACATATTTAACCAACTGAACAGATCAACAACAAGCAAACAGCTCTCTATAATAGATGAAAAGTGAGTGGGATTCTCTTTTGAAATCAAATGCTGGAAGGGATGATTGGTGCTGGATAAACAGACAATTACCCCAGCCTTGAAAAGTCCCTCTCAGCTAGACAAATGACAAACAGCATGCAAGGTTGCAAATAAAACTCCTACATATACTGAATGTGGCCACTTAATAGATTGTAGGGAAGGCAGAAAGGCATAGTGAGGGCAAGTGGACATGCATTTTCATAGCATTTCTGTATGCAGTTTGCATGAACAGATTTAAATTTGTAGTACACACCTTGTAATATTAAAAAGAGAGTACCATGTATATCACTAAAATGGGGAAGACTATGATCAGGTGGTGTCTGTGCCTGCTGTTTAGGAACTCACTGTTAGCGCACAAAGTGAAGGCCTCTACTGCTCTTCATTATTATGGACCTTTATGTTTAAAGTAGAGATGGGATTGAATTGGAAAAAATGGCAATTCATTTTGATTCATGATTCATCAAGCTCAATGAATCACAAATAATAAATTGACAATTTCCCCAGCAAATTGATGAATCAATGTTGATTTGTTTATTTCTTTAAAACCCTAAAAACCAGCCCCACAAGCTCCTAGAGGCACCAAAATCATAGAGAATCTTCCCCTGACTCTTTTCTACAAGCCCAGCAAGTTTGATGAAGTTTGGGTTTTGGACGTCCAAGTTATGAACCCACAAATAGCCCCCCCAAAAAATTGTCCCAGAGATCTAGAGACACCAAAATCACAGAAAAGCTGTGACAAAAATACTGACTCTCCTCTATAATCCCTCCAAGTCTGGTGAAGATTGGATTTCATACATTCAAGTTATAAACACACAAACTGGGTCTCCCAGGAGAGTGCCTTTTAGCAGGTGTCTTGGGGAAACCAAGAGAAATTGTAGAGGAGAGTCAAGGGAAGATTCCTTGTGATTTTGGAGACTCTAGGTGCCTGGGGAGCCATTTTATAGCCCAGCAAATCAATGGAATAAAAAATCGCTTTAAAGAAGATTGGATTTCATACATTCAAGTTATACACCCACAAACTGGGTCTCCCAGGAAAGTGCCTTTTAGCAGCTGTCAAGGGAAGCTTCCTTGTGATTTTGGAGACTCTTGGTGCCTGGGGAGCCGTTTTATAGCCCAGCAAATCAATGGAATAAAAAATCGCTTTAAAATTGTTGATTTGTATTCATTGGGGCATCGATTTAGATGAATATGAATTGATGAATTAGCAATATCGTCTCCCAGGAAAGTGCCTTTTAGCAGCTGTCAAGGGAAGCTTCCTTGTGATTTTGGAGACTCTTGGTGCCTGGGGAGCCGTTTTATAGCCCAGCAAATCAATGGAATAAAAAATCACTTAAAATTGTTGATTTGTATTCATCGGGGCATCGATTTAGATGAATATGAATGGATGAATTAGCAATATCTGATAAATTTTGCTATTCATTTTTAAAATTCATGCCCATCTCTAGTTTAAAGCAAACTTGGAGCAGACTCTTCTGTCAACATATAGGCTGCCCTTTGCTATGTAAGGCTTGACATTCTTTTCCCTGTTGGCAACATGGGTATGATATTGTGCAGAAATATTGGGCCGTTTTCTGGTTTTTTTGAATCATGGGTGCAGTATCCCACATGCATAAACTGGAGATTTGTAGAAGTATTGAGTAACAACTTATATTTTATATAATGTGCTTCTCAGAGAGAATTGTATGACAACCATTTGTTGGCTTGTTGTCCATAAGTTGATGTATTCATTCAGTATATTGAGGGCTGTGTCCTAAAATTCAAATATATATCTTTGGAGAGTTCTTTCTGGTGTGTGTGGTTTTTTAAAAATTACATTAATTAATTTTTTTTTTTTTTGAATCATGGACACAGTATCCCACATGCATAAAATGGAGGTTTGTAGAAGCATTGAGTAACAACTTATATTCTATATAATGTGCTTCTCAGAGAGAATTGTATCACAACTATTTGTTGGCCTGTTGTCCATAAGTTGATGTATTCATTCAGTATATTGAGGACTGTGTCCTAAAATTCAAATATATATATCTATGGAGAGTTCTTTCTGGTGCGTGCAGTTTTTTTAAAATTACATCAATTAGAGTATGAGATGATGAATTTTTAAGTTGGTTTTTCTTACTGTTTGTAAACTTAGAGCTGCAGTTGAGATGGCACAAGGCCAGGAGAAGCTTAGACCCTACCCTCAACTTAGTCTCAAGCTAGGGCTAACCTTATGACTTTTGTGATGAGGAAAGCTTGCATCTTGCCCCCTTTCTAGCTTTTCTGCCACTGCCCATAGATCTAGCAAGGAGAAGAGTTCTGGCTGAAGATGGCTATGTCCTCAGATCTCTGAAATACACTGACAGAAGGAAATTTCTGCTGGAAAAAGCTTGCTTCCAGTTTTAATCCCATATAACTGATATAATTTTCACTGAGAAATGTAGTGTTAAGTTGCTACAGGTCAAATGCTTATGTTTTTGGTTTTTAAGCTTTGCTTCTAAATATGGATTTACTTTTGTACAATATTTATTTAGAAAGGCTACAATTCCACAGAGGTGATATATAAATGGAATGTATGTCCCTGATTGCATGCCTCATAACATAATGTGCATGCATTTGGCATATACTTGGCACCTTGGCAATTAGCCACAATTAGCTGTGGCAACTTCCATGATTCCTTCTGTTCAACAGGATTTTGGCCAGAGTGTTTTATAGCCATTTTCATAAGATAATGTAATGTTTTCAAAAATTAACAGGTAAGGTTTATTTTTTATTGACAGTAATATGTGTCTTTTACTTTATTTTATTTATTCATGGAGTTTATTTTTCATATAAGGTTATACCTTTCCTTTATTTTCAGACAAGATTGCTGGAGCACCTGGCCATGTAGCCAAGGACTGTGAGTTTCTCCCAGGACAGTGGCCATTTTAGATCACCCAGAGTGTGCACGGCTGATTGAGTTACGTATACAGTATGTCCTGCCCCACTTGCGTGGCCTGAGACAAACCAGATCACTACCAGGAGGAAAGATGTCTGGGTACTTTAACCCTGGGAGGATTGCCATAGGTTGGAATGGTCTTAATGGCATATTATTATTGTTACATCTACTTGCATTCATTCCTTACAATGATAGGAATCATGTAAGAATAACATGAAAATTACTGAAGTTACTACCTGTCTTAAAATAACTTCTCAGAACTGAAAGGAGAATACATAGATTTAGTGCATTATGGCAATACTTTCTGCTATTTCTCTCCAGTGCCAGCCCACTTGACTCACCTCCATCATATCCTAGGCATTGTGGGCACACTTGACATAAACCTTCCACTTGTGCAGAAATTCGCATCGGTGGAGCTGGACTAGTGCTAGTGTTCATACAGGGATAGAAGCAAATGGTGAAGTTCTATCACCTGGATAGCTCTTTAGAAAGATGCCTTTATGCTTACTAGCTGACTTACGACTCAAATGCCGTAAAAATGCAGCAGACTTTTCTTATATCCCATTATTTTCTCCCTTTATGTACAGCTTCAGTAGAGCCATGGCTTCTGGCATGCAGCATGTATCTTTCTATCTGCTCTGTACAGGATGTACATATAATTATCTGATAAAACCCTGGAAGGCTCTCCCATCAATAATTCTATATAGGCAGTGTTTCAAAGAGGACAGTCAATGTGCTGACTTAAAGGGTACCTTCTCTTCATTCTATGCACCCTTGCAGATGGTTAGCCTTGGGATTTCAACAAATAATATGAGTTTGTAATAGGCCTAGGGATGAACAAAGTCCAGTTTCATATCCACATTTCATTAAACATTCTTTATGGTGAGTTTATGGAGACATTTGCAAATCTTGGTAAGTTATTTGGAAAAATGAAATTCCCACTTAAATCCCAAATTCAGTTGTCAGAGCTGCTTTCAAGATGGAGAGAATCATGTTCTACATTGTTACTATTGATCCATTGATCTTAAAAAAAGCTAGAGATTATTGTTCAACACTGCAATCCTTGGCTGAATACAGTGGTGCCTCACTTGATGACATTAATCCGTTCCAGCGAAATTGTTGTAGAGCAAAATAGTCATCAAGCGAAAGTAAAAAGCCCATTAGAATGCATTAGAAACCAGTTAATGCGTTCTAATGGGCAAAATGCCTCATTGTAAAGCCGAGATCCTCCATAGGGCAGACATTTTCTGCTCCCTGTAGAGCGAAGAATCCATCCCTAACACAGCGGGGCGCCATTTTGCACAGCGGGCGGCCATTTTTTAAAACCGACAATCAGCTGTTTTGGTCATCGTTAAGCGAAAAATTGGTTCCCGAAGCAGGGAACCAATCATTGTCAAGCGATCGCAACAGCGATCGCAAAAACCTCATTGTACAACGGATTCGTCATACAATGAGATAATCGTCAAGCGGGGCGCCACTGTACACAGATTTGAAACACAGATTTTGAAATTCCTCAAAGGATAGACAACTACAGTACAACCCCCTTATCCATGGGATCAGTATCCACTGATTCACTTATCCACAGTCTGAAAATATTTAAAAAAATAAAAAATTATCCACAGTCTGAAAATATTTTAAAAAATAAAAGAAAAAATCTAGAAAAAACTATTTTCATATGTATTACCAGAACTAGCCACAGGAAGGAGCCAGAAATCATGCTATGAATGCTTGTTAGTGCGCATACATAGCACGGTCCTTGGCACCCTCTAGTGACCAGTTTTGGTAATGCATGTGAAAATAATTTTTTCCTATTTTTTCCTTTTTACCATGCTATATGCGTTCGTTGTTATCCATGGTTTTCAGTATCCACAGGGAGCTTGAAACCAATCCCCAGCAGATATGGGGATCCTACTGTATATCTTTTAGATTTTCAACTACATTCAGTTAAAAACAACAACTTATGAACACATTTGTGAAGAAATTTGTCAATATCTGTTTTGTTTATTTATTTATTTATTTATTGATTTATTAAACTTATATACCAACCATCTAGAACGGGTCTACTCTGGATGGTTTACATAAAATATAAAAATAAATTAAGAAGGTATAAATGAACTAAAGATAGATAAATATTCAAATTTCTTATTCAAAATCAAACTGTACATAATTCTTTCCCAGTCCTCTCTACTGCAGACATGGCATTATTTATTTATTTATTTATTGATTTATTAAACTTATATACCAACCATCTAGAACGGGTCTACTCTGGATGGTTTACATAAAATATAAAAATAAATTAAGAAGGTATAAATGAACTAAAGATAGATAAATATTCAAATTTCTTATTCAAAATCAAACTGTACATAATTCTTTCCCAGTCCTCTCTACTGCAGACATGGCAAGACAATCTTACTTTTCTATCATTTTTACATCTACTTGGAGACACTCAGTGAAAAGGGTATGTTTGGAATTCTTAGAAAGCGTTTGCATTTTAGCTCACAGATGGAAGAGAAGCTTGCTAAGAAGCTTGCTAGGATCAATTTCCAAGGGACTTTTCAAAGATTCAAGAGTAGATAGGTGCCAAATTGGGTATTTTGGACTACAATTCCCAGAATTCCCTAGGCATCTATCCTGTGTGTGAAGAATTATGAGAATTATTGTTTAAAAAAGACATATCTGAACACTTTTACCCAAAAGTAATGTAGAAATGGATATATCTGGAGCTGTAATTAATATATAATTGTTATTGATACCACTTTCTTTCTTTTTTATGAAGAACTATGACTGCAGCCAAAACCACATTAATGTATATCCAGGGCAAATTCTGGTGTTCAGAAAACACTATTGTACCCAGAGCCACACCATATGATTTCATGGGACTAAGCCAATGGCCATCATGCAGACAAATTCTTTAAGATGAAAACTTAATCTTTGTAGAGGTCTTAAAAACATATGAAATAAGACAAAATGTAATATTGAGGTGACTTACTAAAATGGTTATAGCAGGGTAAACAATTGAATTTTTCTGTCCATTTCTTAAAAAGTAGAAATATTTATGCTTCAAGTATGGATTAGAATTGAAACTTGACATTGGGATCTTCATTTTAATTACAATTTGTAGTGCAGCTGTTCTATTCTTTCCATCATCTCATAGTTGATAGGGCATCTAATTAGTACTTTATAGTATTTTGTGGTCAATTATAAAATGTTATAAAGAAGAGAGAATGCTGTTTAGCAAAAACAAACTGTGCAATTCTCATTCTTTTCTTGAAAAATCTTTTTGCAAACAATTTTATAAGTTACATTTCTTCAGTACCATGAAAAAAAACCTATGGTTAATATTTTTTTAAAAGTAGCCTTTGCCATTAAATGTATTTCGGATTGCTGCCCCTATTAAAAACTTCTTAAAATAATAGATAGGTTTAATTCCTCAAGTCAGAGAAAAATTACTGCATCGTACGTATTTTCCATATTTATATTTATGTGCACGTGGAAAGAACAAAAAGAAAATCTGACAAAAAAAGAAGCAAAATCTCTTGTATTGCAAGTTTTAAATGTACCAACCTAAGGTTTACTTAATTAGAACCTTGAGGCAATAAAGGAAGCCTTTTTTAAATTCTGTGAATCTTAATATGCTAAATAATGCAAAGCTTCAACTCTTCAAGCATGAGACACACATCTGGCCGCTTAACATTTAAATTATAGAGAGAGAAAAATCCCTTCCATTTCTTTGGTATGAAGAAAAGAAAGGGAAATGTATTACAACTAAATTTAATTTCATTTTAGATTTTCATCATGTTAATTGCACATCTTTTTTTATTTTTGGCTGGGGAAAGCATCTCTTTATTTTATTTACGACACCTCTTCTTTTTCTCTTCCTGTTTTTTCAAATTGATCTTTAATTTAAGCAGCTCCTCACTGTTTATGGCCACTGAAGAATTACATTGTGTTCTACCAGGATATCTATCTGGAGTTGAAAGTAATGAGCTCAGTGATACAGAAAATAAAGGAAAGAACACAAGCTCAAAAAAAGCAAGACAAGACCAAAAACACACACACACAAACAAATTAAAGCAGGAAAATTATTAAACAACATCATTCAATTTGTTTTCACCTTTAGATTTTCACGTAGGCAACCCAATTCTATTCCTTTTTTCCTTGATAGCATCCAGTGTGGAGCACTGCACAAATTCTGTAGCACTGTGGAGGTAGGAATACGCATGGGTTCTATTTTCATATTAAAGTGTGGGGAAAGCCTCAGAAAATGCTGGTAGAATGGTCAAAGTGAGGCAGGACACCGCTTTGCTGGCTTTCACTCCCATCATTTGCTGCCACCAGTATCAAAGAGCAAGATAGGTTCAGCTTCTGAGCCAGGAGAAAAATAAAATGGAAAAACCCCTCAGGCAGAAATGCTCTTTCAGGCAGGACACCGCTTTGCTGGCTTTCACTCCCATCATTTGCTGCCACGATTATCAAAGAGCAAGATAGGTTCAGCTTCTGAGCCAGGAGAGAAAAATAAAATGGAAAAACCCCTCAGGCAGAAATGCTCTTTCCCAAAACCTGACCTGTTGAATTGTCTTTCTGTGTAGGAACCTATTGTGCCTTAAGCCTCTCATCTTCACGGGCCCTCCCCTAAGTACCTCTAGTGCTTCAGGGACACCAGGAGGCAAGAAGAAAATAGGCCTATGCTATTTTAATGCCTCAGTTAGTCTCACAGTGTCTCAAAAAATTATTTTCCTCATATGAGCCTTTAGTAAGGTAAAGGTAAAGGTTTCCCTTGACATTTTTAGTCAGTCGTGTTCGACCCTAGGAGGCAGTGTTCATCCCCATTTCCAAGCCGTAGAGCCAGCGTTGTCCGAAGACAATATTCCGTTGTCACATGGTCAGCGTGACTTAGATTCGGAATGCTGTTTACCTTCCCACCGAGGTGGTACCTATTTATCTACTTGCATTTACACGCTTTTGAACTGCTAGGTTGGCAAGGAGCTGGGACAAAGCGACGGGAGCTCAATCCATCACGTGGATTCGATCTTACGACTACTGATCTTCTGACCCTGCAGCACACAAAGGCTTCTGCGGTTTAGACCGCAGTGCCACTATGTCCCTTATAGGAGCCTTTAGTACCTAGTAACTAAACAAATGGTTCACCTATGGAGAGCACTCCCAGAGAGGTCCACCTGGTACAAGGAACGATGTTGCTTTTGGGTGGACTGGTGAATGGTGCTCCCACTGCAAGTCAGTGTATGCTGGTCAAAGGCAAGACAAGTTATTTCAGTGCAAAACAAAACAAAACACAATTATTTTGTCCTTCTGGTAAAAACATATTGTTAATACAATGAATGAATGAATGGATGAATAGATGAATAATTCAATGAATCAATGAATCAATGACATTCTGTTGCTGTTCGTTACCCCAAAAGGCTGCCTCACCATACTTATTGGTAGGATAGTTCCTGACTGGCATCTGCTTTGATGTCATTTTTCCACCTGTTGATTAATTTCTTTTAATGTTTTTCTCTACAATACTGTTAGTTTTTTTAAAGCAATGCTGTTCCTTTTATTTGCTGTTGTTTAGAGGTTATTTTCACTATTGCTGTGTGATACTAAATCATCAAGAATGAAGAATATGACAAATACTCTGTACTAGAAAAGGCTGTGTCTCAACACATCAGGGCACTCCATGAAAAATATTGTCACCCAGATTTTTCATTCCTGCACAAGAGAGAAAGGACTAGCACCTAAACACATTAGCCAAAAAAAAGAGGGGGGGCATGTTTTGCACATAAAATGTGTTTGATAAGAATAAGATTATATTTTACATTAAAATATTGAGTTTCGTACCACATGCAATGGTGTTGCGAAAAATAATCATGCTTCTGCACAAAATATCAAGAACCTGGGGGAAAACAACCACACACACACAGACACACACACATACAGAGAGAGAGAGAGAGAGAGAGAGATGGAGGAGCTAAAAAATTCTCATAGTCTCATCCTGCAGGAAAGAACTTTTGAATTTTTCCTTTCCCCTACTAGAATGAAGTAAGTGAAGATTTACATCCCCATTCTCTCCATCTTTATCCTGAAAACCACGTTATATCCTTTTTCGATTTGTGGTGTGTGAAAACAGCTGTCATCCTTACGTGATCACCTTTTAGATTACCACAAATTGATGTGAGAGCAAGGGAAGAAACAAAAGGGTGTTATTGCTAGAAAAATGCAACTTACAAACCAGAGCAACTCTTCCAAACCAAGGAAATCTGCCGCCTCTGCTTTTGCACACTCTGAGTGCTACACACTCCAAAATAAAACAAGTAAACAACATGGAAGCAAGTAAATACACAATTCTGAAAAATGTGACCTTTTTCCTTAAATTCATTCTTGTCATCGGATATTCACAACAAAAGGGCACAGTTTGTATTTGTTTGATTGTGAGCCTCAAATTTGTGAGATATACACAGCAAAACAGGCAATATTCTTCAGGCTGAGGGTATAAAATCAAAATTATTCAAAGCTTGCTATAGTGACTATGTAAGTAAGTGTTTACTGAGTCATTCTTTTAATGACATTTTTTAATTTCTTTGCTTAGGAAAAGAACCATATACAGAGAACTCTGTTTTTTTTTCAGATACGTGCTGTGATATGGTCCCAGTGAAGGAAGTTCATGGAAGATACTGCAAAGTAAGGAAAGAAACAGAGAGTTTTAGAAAAATCTACTGACCATGTCTGGCATTACACAGAAGGGTCCAAAAAGCACTCTTTAAAATGGAGGTTTTTATGCATCTGGCAAGGTGGGAGGAAAACAGCTGACATTTTGTGAACTCAGCCTTGCCAATAAAACATTTTATGGCTAAGCGAGCACACTCTCCTGTACTACCAAAGACTTTGGCTAAATAAACCTCTTTACAACTTACCTGCCAATCTTTGAAGTAGTAATTGAATAGTTATTTTCCTTGCTGATTTTGCTGAACTTTTATGGTTTATTGGTTCTTCTCACTTTTATACCTGTTCCCTTGGGAATACTGTTTGGGGTCTGAAAGTCATGACAGGACAGAAAATCAGTTTTATGCTTTTCTGGAAAAAAGACTAAACCATGAAGAATCCTGTCCGTGTTGATTTCTCAGTCCAAAGACAAGCATGTTCATTTTCAAAACTCTGCTTTCTATTCACCAAAGGAATTATTGTACCTCTCGTTGTTATGTGTCATCAAGTTGCCTCTAACTTATGGTGACTCTATAAATAAGTGCTCTCCAAAATGTCTTGTCCTCAACAGCCCCCACTCAGCTCTTGTAAACTCAAGCCTGTGGCTTCCTTTAGGGAGCCAATCCTTCTTGTATTTGGTCTGCGTTTTTTTCCTGCTGCCTTCAACCTTTCCTAACATTATTGTCTTTTCCAGAGAAACGTAACTTCCCATTATGTGCCCAAAATATGATAGCCTCAGTTTCATCATTTTTACCTCCAGAGATATTTCAGGCTCGATTTAATCTAGGAGACACTTCATCTTTCTCTCAGTCCAGGATATCTGCTAAGATTTCCTGCATCACCATATTTCAAATTAACCTCTCCCCCCACTGTTAGTTTAGTTTACTGTCCAGCTTTCACACCCATACAAAGTGATCAGGAATACAATAATGTTGATGGTCTTGATATTGGTTTCCAGTGACACGTCTTTGCACTTGACCATCTTTTCTAATTCTCTCATTGATGCCCTTCTGAATCTCAGTCTTCTTCTGATTTCTTGGCTGCCATCCCCATTTGGGTTGATGACTGAACCAAGACTTAAAAAAAAAAAACAATTTCATTTCTAATTGTGAGTGAAAATAACATAAGCTTGGCTGCAGTCCCCATTTGGGTTGATGACTAAAGCAAGACTTTTTTAAAAAAACAAAATCAAAAACAATTTCATTTCCAATTGTGAGTGAAAATAACATAACATGTTACACTGAGCAGGGGGTTGGACCTGATGGCCTTATACTTTTCCTTCAAATTCCATTAGTCTATGAATCTATAATTTCAGGTTGTGCCCTGTGGTACATATTTTGTTTTTAGATGGTCCCTTTAAGGGATCAGTGGAGGACACATAAGCAGGTCTTCTAAGTATAAGGGTGGCCTTGGCCAATTTGTAATTCCCCCCCCCACTCCTTGTAACATGCAAGACTTTGTGGGGCATCAGCCATTCATAGTAACTTCGTGGTTATAGTTATGAGCCCTATGCTAGACAGGAAACTATCCAAAACCCCTTTATCTTTATTAATCCTTTTATAGAAAACATGTTTGACTCTTTGCAGTATTGATGAAACACCTATTCCCTGGAGATCAGGCTGATCCCCCACCCACCCCAGGCTGTTTTTCTTCTGTCTACTAGTAAAGTCCTTTCTAAAGACTAGATTTTTGATATGTGCTGTATATTTTTAAACCTTTAACTAAAGTATCTTTAACTGCAGTAACTCTATTGCATTCTAACACCAACAACTTGTTTAATTGTTTATTTAATGATAATTTATTTGCCTTTTTAAAAAATGTATTGAGCACTGCCTTAGATCCCAGTTCTGGGAGAAAGATGGGATACAGATCAAACAAACAAATAAACTTAACTCTTCCAATTCATGCCACTTCCCATGCTGATCAAGGCCCATTATGTCATTTATATTTTCATGTTAATTATATTGGGCAGTACCCTATTGCTAATGTCAAGTACAGAGCAGATCCATTGAATGAATTACTAGACAATAAGTCAACACAAGTGAATCCCATTGAGTCAATGAGTCTGCTCTAGCTGGGACTAAACAATCGGTTACCTTCCACTATACTGTTGCTCTTTGAGATAACAACTGCCGAGAGTAGACACGTTCTAGATGGGTGGTATATAAATCTAATAAACAAACAAACAAACAAACAACTTCCTCAAGTGATATAGTATTGCAGTAATAGTAGTTGGTGGTGGTTTTAATTCTGTTTTTAAAAATGCTTTTGGATTGTTCATATTGGTATTCATTGGACATGTCAAATGCTTAGAGATAACATTAAAACATGGCTTAGCCCTATACATCTCCATTCGGAAGTAGGTTCAACGAGTTCAGTGGAGCTCATTCCCACATACTGGATTGCAAACTAGTCACACAAAGTGCAGTGAGATGCAGTGGAATTTAATTATATTTGGTTTTTCTCTGAGTCATGCCTATTGGTCTTTGTCTACCAACCCCTCCCTGCAAAGAACTGATGTATAACAGGTCAGCATTTGGAGAAGCAGCTGCATATAGAGCTATTTAGGCTTCAGCCTGATCACTGCTGTTTTTGTTCTTCTGATGTTTTGTTGGCCTGAAAAGCATAGCAATGACATCTCATTAGATGCTGTTCAGAGCATTGTGCTATGTGTAATTAAGTTATTAATGTCTTGTTATTAAAGGGCACAAAGTGCTTATGCTCCTGTGATTTTGGTGAGAAAGTAAATTGTTTCTGGAGCCACACCCTCAAGCTTTTGATTTAAGATCTGGTTTGAGTCATATGCATGATCAAACATAACCCAGTAGAGTCCGTTTATAATCCACTTTAATACTTATTGTGTTTTGTATCTTGCAAAGCACCGCAATTCTAGTTCTTGCACAACAAATAAAGTTTCCATATGATAAGGTCAAAACAGTTAGGGCCTTGGTTTGGGGTATTTTGACCATCAAAATGTTGATGAATTGGGCATGCTTACAAAGACCAGCATGGAAGTGTCTGAGTCAATGCTAACACAGTTTCTTTGGTAGCTGTCAGTTAAAGCATGGATGCTGCATTGCAGAGTTAACTGGATTACTTTCAATATATGCCATCATTCTCAAAAGAAACACTCAAACTAGGAATTGTAAAATCTCCAGCGCATAGTTTTGTCTACTCCATGTTCTATTTTTATGATCGTTACTTCAGCTGAATCAGAATTATCCAAACCGTGTGCTCGGCCAGAGAAGTCCTGGGATTAAGCCAGAAGCTGATGAAGCAGTTTTATATAGTACATCCTATATGGAGGAACTGGAGAAATACAGAATCTCTGTATGGTGAGCAATATTTCAGAGTTTGTGCTCTGTTTACTCATGGAGAACTATGTAAAATGTGTTGGGGAGGGTGAAAATAGAGGCAACAGTTTCTAAGAGAGTATGACAGTTGAAAGAAGTGGTGATTTAGTATCGGAGCTGTTCATCATTTCTAGAATCAGAAAATACATTTCATTTCGTCTGTTGCTGGAAGTGATGCCGTTTGAATAAGCCATCAAAATGAGTTCCTGGCCATTTGTGGTTATTAAAGACCACCCCCACCCCCCAGGCATTTCTTTGAGAACAGTTGCCTGCTACCAGACCAGTTTTAGCCCCAGTATTCTTGCCAAATCCTAATTTTATATTCTGCCTGCCTCAGTTTTGCCTCAGGTTTTCGGTGAGAGAGAATGTGCTGCCTCTTCCTCTCTCTCTCTCCTTCTGCCTCAGCCCAAAGTGCTTGCTCCACCTCTAAAGAAGTAGTAGTTTTTTTTCAAAACAAACAACCAAACAACCAAACAAACGAAAAGCTACTTCCTTGATTTTAAAAAGAGAACAGGAATATTAAGAAATATGTGATGGCACATGTTCCACTATGAGATATCTATATCTATCCAGATAGACAGACAGGCAAATATACAGTGGTGCCTCGCTTAGCGAGTGCACCGTATAGCGATGTTTCCGTATAGCGATCCCTTTTTCGGGATCGCTATACGGAAACTCCCCCGATCTTCGCAATGGGGAAAACCCGCATTGCGATTAAAAAGAGAACAGGAATATTAAGAAATACGTGATGGCACATGTTCCACAATGCGATATCTATATCTATCCAGATAGACAGATAGGCAAATATATCTACACGTGCAAATTTCAAAGCAAATTAACAGAAGTATCAAACATTCTACTCCCTCCCCCCCACCTGATTTAATAGATATGAAGAACATAGTTGGTTAGCCAGTTATGATTTCTAACAATTCCCATTGGTCCTGAGGATCACTTATTGCTATTTACTCTGTATTGCCAGCCTGCACTCCCCACCCCAGCTTTTACCTATTTTCTCACTAACCCACAGACTCTTTGATTCCTTGCCAATCCTGGATTTGCTCACCACTCCAATGTTTGAATACAAAATCAGGTGACACTAATTGGTGGCCCTGTTTTGAACCCTATCTTAGCTAAGTAACAAGCTGGCTGGGTTATCTGATTCCAGCCTTGTTGCAGGAGGGCAGCAAATAGCTGTACCTTTTCATGGAAGCAATCACATGTTAATTGCAAGGCACATGTTTTGTCTGTGGATCATTCTAGATGTAGTCCTCAGCATCTACAATTAACAAAAGATTAGATACCAAGCGATAGAAGAAAATCATTTGCCCAGCAATCCTGGAGAGCTGTTCCCACTCAGACTGGATAAAGTCTCAATACTTCACTCTGAGACATTTGGAGAAAGACTGAAAACATTTCTTCATTTGTATCCTCGAAAGCTTTCATGGCTGGGATCCGATGGTTGTTGTAGGTTTTCTGGGCTGTTTGACCGTGTTCTGGAGGTTTTTCTTCCTAACATTTTGCCAGTCTCTGTGGCCAGCATCTTCAGAGGACAGGAGTTAGAACTTTGTCTGTGTTCTGAACACAGACAGAGTTCTAACTCCTGTCCTCTGAAGATACTGGCCACAGAAACTGGTGAAAGGTTAGAAAGAAAAACCTCCAGAACATGGCCAAACAGCCCCCAAAATCTACAACTACCATTTTTTTATTTGTAGGGGCTTGAAATTAACACACTTGTGTATGCTGCTTTCTTCATTGCACACATACTTTGCCTCCAACTGAACAGAAGAACAGCAAACAACACTGCTTCCAAATGAGAAAAGAGAGGGGGAAAACACTCAGCAGATAGATGAAGCTCTCTTTGAATTCATAGGCTGGAAGGAATAATTGGTTAGTGCTGTATAAATAATCAATCCCAGCTCAGGAAAAGTCCCTCCATAACACAAACCACAAACAGCATGCAAGGTTGCAAATAAAACACCAACATAATGCTGGCTTAAACAAACAAATGGTTTGACCTAGTGGGAGGCAATTTCTTACATCCCAAATAATCCATCGCTCCAATGGCCCATTTCTAACATGCCTGCATTGCATATAGCTGTGCTGTTGCTCCACTACAGTACATTTAAAGCTGTGCATAAGTAATATCAGCATATGGGTACTCTCTACACCATTCTTCTCCTTTTGGGGTCACCCAAAGACCAGAAGGAAAGTGTCTGAGTCATTGCATTGGATACCCCAAAGGTGGTCTACACTACAACTTTTATCATCCTTGGATAATGGTCATACTGACTATAGCTGTTGGGGATTGTGGGGTAAAACATCTGGAGATACCCATGCCGGGGAAGGCTGCTAAGCTTTCTGTTATTTATCTTCTTCATTTCTTTGCCCCCTGACTTCCTTTTAAGTTGTCTCTGGAGGGCTGTTCCTTCATCGGATCCTAGACGTATCTCTATTAGGCTTCATTCCTTTTAAATATATATATTATGTTAGATGATTAGGGACCCGAAGAAGAGAATTAATGGGGCTTTAGGTCTAGGGGCTTTTTAGGTTTCCATAAACATCAGAGATTCAGATGCTCTGAGATGCAATCTGAGCAATTTCCTTGATCTTTTACTGGAGCTGGTAAATTGTTTATTGGGGTAGACATTTTACAAAATCCTGCTTTAAAAAAATCCCATAAAGTCTGTTTATCATAGAATACTGTGCTACCAGCCATCTTCAAAGTTATGTATGAACTGCATTAATTATCAGCTAACAGTTGCCTTGAAAATAATTTGGGCTTTTTCAGTATCCTGGCGCCCCTTTATCTTTGCCTTGTTAAAAAAAAATAAAGGAACACAGGAGCCAAACAGTACATGCGAGTGTGTTTTAAGATAGGGTTGTCCTGTGTGCGGGTATGTGTATAAATATATGGTGGAATTTGCAAGAAGCACTACTTTTATTGCAGTCAGAATGGGCCTTGACAATCACATTATTTATAATTCACTGGCATAAGGTACAGAGGTCCAAGTGGACAAGACCCTCATACTTAATAAAAAGAGTGACCGTAGAAAAAAAATATTTCCATGATGGGAAATGTGAATGTAGATTGTCACCTGGAGCCTTGTGTGTTTGTTGCATTGTGTTGTGCACATATAGCCGGGTTGGAGGGGGAGGAGAGAGAGAGATTGAGATTGAGATTGAGAGAGAAGAGAGAGAGAGAGAGAGAGAGAGAGAACTCGGTAGCTTGTGTGACCAACGTCATGGGGCATTTTCTCCTTTTTTGTTAGAAAAAGTAGGAATTTTTCACGGGGGGAGCAAATTATTATGAAATTCATACATAAATTTAGGATTCTGGAAGGGGAGCATCCTCTCTTTGTCCCTCAGAAGCACACTTATGAGGAAAAGCATGATAATCACATGAATGTGATCACATGATAATTTCAGAATAATCACATTAAACCACACAATATTAATGATTTTTTGGCGTTTACACAGTCAGTGGCTGAAATCCTGTTGCACTATTGCTCAAAAGGTATATCTTTTTTAGGCAAATTGCCATAAATAAAAATAAACCTCTACAGATATTATCTATTGCATACTCATTCACATAACTTGGCATGCAGTGAATAACCCTTATGGAGATTTCCTAATTTATGACTATTCACCCTCCAACAAAGTTACAATTTTTGCAGAGCTGTTCAACAGGATTTGAGCCTGTAGATCTCCCACAGATGATATAATAGTTCCTATGGTACTTGGCAGAGTATAAAACCAATAATATTAATAAACAATAATGGTGTGGAATTAAGTCAATGTTAAGTCAATAATAACTGTGCCCTGTTAAGTCAATATGGTAACCATTTCCAGAGTTTTCTAAGTAGAGAATACTCAGAAGTGGTTTAAAATTCTCTTCTTCTGGAGACTCCTGGGACTGTGCAGCTTGCCCAAGGCCACACAGGCTGGTTCTAGTCACAGCACGCACAGCGGGGAATTGAACTCCCAACCTCTGGCTCCACAGCCAGATACCTAAACCATTTAGCTATCCATCCAGCTCATTTTTAATCTTAGCCTGCTACATGCAAAATAAAACAGCAAAAACAAGAATGATTCCATTCTGCTTGCTTTCCTTGGTGGGCAAATAAATTTTAGAGCTTGAGGAAAGGTAAAGCAAGAGTTAATTGTAAGCACTGCAGCGTAGCAGCATTGTTTTTAATAAAAACAATAAACTTCTCTTTTTTATAACACACAAGTGATTTGACATTGAAATAAATGCAGATGCTTCTTTGCACAGTGTATTCCCTGTTGTGCTTTCTTAAACACCTTCACATATGGTTTGCCTCATTCCTGTGAAACTGCTTGTTGTTTATGTCATACAAACAGAACAGATTGATTTTACACCGAGTAAGTAAGGAGCGAATGAATTATCCATTGGAAGCAAATCATTGACTGGGTATTCAGAA